TACACACTGAAAAATCCCTAATTCACATACAGAGTAATACAGCAAAACAGCAGCAAATGCAAATACAGAACAATACAAGCCAAATACATATTAACAGAATATAACTATTTCTACAGTTCTGGAAAGGTCAATACATGCTGTTTCATTATTACTACTATGCCAAACCACAAGGAGCACACAGAAAACACAATACTCATTCGCCACAGAAGCCGGCTTCAGCTCGCACACGTACTCACCTTCACTCTCCTCTCCACCGCCCCGTTATAATCCTGCTGTCGGTGGTCCTCAGGAACGTGGTTCCCGGGAGCCTCAAACTCAGGCCTGCCTGACGAAAACCTCGGTCCGGGGCCGGTCCGTGCCCAAACTTTGGCGATGACTGTCGCCTCGCAGACCGGCCGGGACCGAGGAAAAAAAACCCCAGCTGGGAGGGAAAAAAAAAAACCCCCCCAGCTGGGGATTTTTTATTCTAAATTTAAAAGTGAATTGCAAGTCCTGAAAAGCAAAAGCCATACATACCAGGTTAGAACCACTCGACACACATGCACACAAGCAGACCCTGACCCACCGACTCTCACAGACAGCCACACTCTGACATGCAGCAGGAGACTAACTCGCACAGTGACCGCAACCCTTATTTGAAACACTCTGCTGAACAAAATGCCCTGAGATATCTTCTCACTGCTGCTTCTCAACATCAAAAGGTAGATCCTCAGAAAATAGGCATCAGAGACCTGCAAAACAACACAAGGTGGTCAGTGAGGGATTCTATGGTAGCTATGACTCAGCCACCCTCTAGGCCCACACATTTTTTACACAAAAACCTCATAGAAAAGAGAAACTGTAACCTTTTATAATTGTTCCACCTAAATCTAACTATGTGCCAGGGCAGGGCAGCTCCAAACCAATGCAGTTCAAGTTAAGTAAAGTTACAGAGGCAGGCACAATGCAGTTAAAGTTAAGTAAAGTTACAGAGGCAGGCACAGTGCAGTTAAAGTTAAGTTACAGAGGCAGGCACAATGCAGTTAGTTTTACAGAGGCAGGCACGGTACAAGGCAGTCGCAGGTGATGTCTGCCGGGTGAACGCGGCGATAGCTGTGGATGCGAAGGCCGGTTCCTCAGACGAAAAAATCCACGATGACGTCGAGAGGCTGAGATGGCCGATGACATGAAACACGAGACAACGAGAAGATGGATTGGAACTGCCCTGCCCAGCAAAAGCTCTGGCAAGCTTGCAAAGAAACCCTCTCCCTTGGCTTCAGAGGGGCCCATCCCACTACAGCCCTGTCCTCTAACTTAACTTCAAAATGCCAACTCACCTGCTCATCTCTGCTCCTTGCCGTGCTCGGGGCAACACCAACTCCTGCAAAGACAGAAAAGAAAAAAGCACTGAGTTACTGTCACAATGCACAAGGTGGAATTCCCGATGTGGTTCCTTTATTCCATCCGGGACTACAAAAGCTTGTCAGCCAACCAGGGACTGAAACAGAAGAAAAACCACTCAGTCCCACCTCTCGTACTCAAAGATCCCCTGTAAAGTTCTGAAGACAGAGCCCTCAAACGAGTGTGGGGTGCTTTGCCCGGAGGCATGTGCTGTTTTCAAAAAATTCGAGTCACCTCCCTTGCTTTCTAGACACTGCTCACCGACGTGGCAGGCTAGGGGCGGCTGAGGCGAAACGTCTTTCCCCTGATAATGACTGCACGATAAACCTGCAACCCCTTCTGTCTCTCAGAATCCTGTCCGTGACACCGATTCGTGTCAGGATCCACAAGGTGGGATTTGTGATGTGGTTCTTTCCTTCTATCTTAGAGAACTAAAGATTAGCAGCAAACCAGGGACTTTAAACAGAAAAACCTCGCAGTCCCACTTATCGTACTCAAAGATCCCCTGTAAAGTTCTGAAGACAGAGCCCTCAAACGAGTGTGGGGTGCTTTGCCCTGAGGCATGTGCTGTTTTTAACAAATTCGAGTCACCTCCCTTGCTTTCTAGACACTGCTCACCGACGTGGCAGGCTAGGGGCGGCTGAGGCGAAACGTCTTTCCCCTGATACTGACTGCACGATAAACCTGCAACCCCTTCTGTCTCTCAGAATCCTGTCCGTGACACCAATGTGTGTCAGGATCCACAAGGTGGGATTTGTGATGTGGTTCTTTCATTCTATCTTCAAGAACTAAAGATTAGCAGCAAACCAAGGACATAAACACCAAAACACACACAGAGCTTGCACCCACCTGTCCTCCAGCATCCTGGGCTGGGATATCTTGCAAGTAGACCACCTAAAATAAAAAAAACCCAAGGGATTAAAGTTATAGCAGAAACTGAGACCCCAGCAAGAACAACTGCTTCTCTCCACCAACCGAGGCTCACCTTCCACCTGCTTCGCCTTCCCCGCTGCTATCCGGCTTTACTTCCTAGAAATAAAGACAAAGAGCAGAGCTGTAACACAGTGACCAGTTCCAGCCCCGCTGCAAAGTAAAACCGTGACTGACCTTCTCAGGGGGACCCCCTCATCTGGGACAGGTGTTCTGCCAGGAGGTCAATCTATCTGAATCTGAAAGAAAGTTAGGAAAAAAGTCAAAGTGCTGCAGGGTAACTTCACAGCTCCAGACACCTGCTGCCAACATAAGAATACCAGCTAGACTCCAACTACAGCCCATATTACAAATCTCCAATTACAAGTGCCCGGGACTTGTCCTTAAACACCTACAACCGGGCTGGGCGCCAGGGCAGAGCAGCTCCGGACCAAATACCCCCAGGCACCCATGACACGTGAGACAAGGGGACATGACAAGGAGAGAAAACTCTCTGAGACAAGGAAGTCCTCATGAGGACCGAGAGAATGCTGAATGAGATGACCGAGGAGGGACCCGAGGCGAGCCTGCCGGGCTCCGGTGACCCCGGAGGAAAAAGATGCTAACAGAACAACTATTTTCCAAGAACCGCAAAGACGGATGCCCGAGAATCCTGTGGCTGGAAGCCTCTGCCTGCCTTTGAATCGGCACAAGTCCTTATCCACTGTAAAGAAACAGTGCTGCACATAGCTGTCGACACAGCTGAGAACGAGACCTAAA